TCCTAACAATGCTTATGAACTGGCCAGTGTTTATATAATTGCATTGCTGAATGCTTGCCTAATCTGGAAGACCTATCCAGAAAGGTTTGGAAGAGATAAACGGTGATGATTAAGTTTGTGCACTGAGTTGTGCCAGACAGAATAGTGTAGTTTTTCTTTGGGGAGAGAGAGTTTCCACAGGATGTCTGAATTTTGTGGTTAAAATGCACTTGCAGATGTATTCTGTAGGGTTACTTTGATATGTAATAAAAACCTGGAGACATTATTGTCACAGAATATTACTAAAGCAAATAGTTGTGAGATTATTTGTGACTTGGGAATTAATCTTTTATGACTGATGTTTGGTGTGAATTAGGACCTGTTTATTTTATCAAATGATGAATATTTTACACATTCTGAACACTGCCCCAACCCTACACTATCTACTACTAGACTCTACATACAAACACATAATATAAAAATCAGATATTATAGAACATTTTTAATGGAAATTTAAAAAGAATTAACTAAAACAAGTAATATAGGTAACTAACTGCCTCCTCGCTTTGTCTCTCCAGAAATACCACCCTCTCTGCTGCTGCAATAGTTATAAGAATGTATTAATCCTTCAGCAGCAAAAAGTGTGGTAGATCTTTTGTAGACACATGACACAGCCCCTTCCTCAAAGAGTTCACAATTTAAGTCCAAAGGAGCTTGAAAAAAATATTTGCATTCCTTGCCCAATGGTTCCATCATATACCTGGTTAGTATTCAAGCTTCACCTCATTTTTCTTTATTTTCTCTGTTATAAACAGTAATAAAAGAATATCTAACCCTACTTCCTGAAAACTTGCTTGTTCATCTATAGCTTTAAACCATATATCTATAGCTTTAAAAGAAATACACATACATCTGTAACTCTCTTTTACTCACCCGTTCGCCAACTACACACTTTCCTTCTGACAGTCATTACCTCACCTTTGCACAATGGTCAGTTGACCCAAGTAGTTGCTGTTGTTTGGTGCACAAGCTGCTAGTAAAGCCTGTGGAGTTATTGTATTAATGTTTTATGCTCAGTTTACACTGGCATAAGTATCTATATAAGATGAATTGGGCCGACAGAACTTGGCATATGTTTTTTCAGTTAGATCATTTTTATTGAAAGTTTGACAATTTCTGTTTAAAAAGAAAACACTCAGTTTATCCTGTAAACTTTATCAGCTACATGGTCAATTTCATAACCAAATGAAATTTCAGAAACTTGTTTCTTTAAAATGGTCAAAGACTGTAAACTGACAGATGCTTAGATATTGACCCTCCTGGCAAACTCTCAATTTAAAGGCTGTGTTAAGTTTTCTGATTCGGAATTGGCATCAGCTCTTTACTGTAGTGCGTTTCTACTGCCTTATAATGGTTAAAAAAGTTCTCCTGGAGGGTACTTCATATATTTTGGAATAGGATTCATTCTGTGTTAGGAAATGAAGATTTGTTTCATGATTAATGTGCACATTTTAGTACTTGTGCTATTTATTGAACTGTCTTGGATTTACAAAAGCTTCAGAGGGGTAGCCGAGTTAGTCTGGAAGAGGAAAAAATTTAAAAACAACATGATACCTTCTGCATGTTTTGTTAGTCTTTAGGGTGCTGTTAGACTAATTGTTGTTTTTTAAGTTTTTGGATTTACAAGACAGTTCAGTAATGTCACAGAAGAACATTGTTTCCTGCTTATTAGTATTATAAGGCAAATTTGGCTAGAACAACTTGCAAATGATTCCCAAACAGAACAATTAAGATTTGATAGGCTCAGTTAAAATAATTACCTTAAAACAGTGTTTCTTAAAGTGGCCTGTGAAACCTAGGCTCCCCTTGGCTTCCTGCAGGCTGCAAATGGCAAAACAGAGCCAATAGGAGCTGCAAGGCTCTATGGCCACAGCGCTGGTAAATAAACAAACCAGGGTGGCCAGTTAACAGGCTTCTCAAAGTGGTTTTGCGGACCACTTTGAGAAACACTGCCTAAAACACATTTTACCAAAATGGTTTCCTGATAGAGCAGGCTGCTGTGTTCATAATTACTTCTGCTTTATCCTCTTTCTGTATATATCAAATGACAGTAGCCATGGTATAAAAATAATTTAAACCTACTTTTATGATCTGTTGTACAAGATGCTGTTTCAGAGTTGGAATTCCTGCATAATTGAAACTTGTTTAATTGAAATAATATATTTGGGATTTTATGTATTGCAGATTCCTACCAACTTTGGGTGTAGTTTGCTGACAGCTGCTATGGATAAGATTGAAGAACAGTTTGCTAATCTGCGCATAGCAAAACGTGCACTAACTGAAGACCCTACTTACTTACTGGATATAGATGTTTCAAAATCTGTGCAAGCAGAAAGCAACCACTTAGTTGCTGTTTCTTGTTCCAATAAATCAATTAGAGTATATAATAGAGAAACGTTACACTTGCTAAGGGAGTATAGTGGCCATCCTGGATTACTTAATGGAGTCAGATTTGCTCATACAAGTGACAATACATTGTTTTCAGCATGCAGTGATGGCACAATAAAATGTTGGGATACCCGCTTAGCTACTCAGGAAACTGTACAGTTATTCAGTGGTTATCCATCAAATGTTTTCATCAGCTTCGATATTAATTGCAGTGATCTCATAGTTTGTGCTGGGACAGAAAAAGTTGAAGAGGACACATTCATGGTGTTTTGGGATGCAAGAAGTAATACAAACTATGCATGCACAGCTAAAGAGCCTTTAGGAACCTATTCAGAGACTCATAATGATGATATCACTAAAATATGTTTTCATCCTCTTAAACCCAATTTGGTAGCCTCTGGGTCAACTGATGGATTGGTTAATGTGTTTGATATTAACAAGGAAAATGAAGATGATGCTTTGCTTGCAACTTGTAATTCAGATTCATCAGTAAGTTTTATTGGTTGGTGTGGGAAAGATTATAAACAGGTATATTGCATGACACACACAGAAGGATTTTGTTGGTGGGATCTTAGTCAAATAGATACTGAAGAACCAATGACAATATTGCAGATTCTGGATGTAAGAGAAGTAGTCTGCATTGAAACTAGCAACTTACACTATCTGATAGGTGGCTTGTATCATGAAAAGGCAGACAAATTGTTTATTGTTGGTGGAACAGCTATGGGAAACATTCACCTAATGAATTGTGGCATTGATGGACTGAGCCTTGTGGGCACCCTTCATGGAGGGCACTCTGCTACAGTTCGCTCATTCTACTGGAACATGACAGATGATTCTTTGTTGACTGGTGGAGAGGATGCACAGCTGTTGCTATGGAAACCTGGAGCTGTGGAAAGATCCCTTGTAAAGAAGACATCTATGAAAATTGCTTCCTCTGTTCAGCAGCGAGTGAGAGTTCACAGCAACTCTCAAAAGCAAGACACAGTAAAATTATGAAAATGGGACTGTTTATTTTGTAGAATTTTTCACTGTTCTAAACAATGTATTTGGTATGGTGATTTCTTGGCAGTGTGTGGCAAATACAATTTAGTATGTAAATTTCACCTAGAAATGACATGATTTATCACGACTTTTAAAAAAAAGCAAATTATATTTATTAAAAGGCCAAAGGGTAAACATTTACTTTGTATTTATTGAACAAAGTGTCTTAAAATAGTTTATATTTTTATATGAGATTGTATCACAGAGATCTTGCATTAGAATAAAAAAACCTCAATTTGTATATTTTATATTACGGCCTTTTACGAAATGCTTTGGATATATTTAAAAAGCTTTCAGATTTTTAGCCATCTTTTCCTTACTTGCTTTACAGATAATTTAGTGAATGAAATGGCTGAATCTATTAAAGACTTAGTGCACTTACTAATTCTTAGAGGAAGAATTTATTGATGGAATAGAGAAAGGATATTGTTTTGCATTTATTATCTCACTGTTTAATGACAAGTATGTAAACAGTTGTTCATAGAACACATTTTATAACAGAAGAATGAGTTCTAGAAAATAGGAATACTTATTGTGTTCCAAACACCTGTAATCTTTTTTTACACTTATGAAAAATGTTATAATTGATGGTAGTTGGAGATACATTGCCAGAATAGAATGGGGTACCTTGCAGTTTTCATAGATTGGGTGTTTTGATTATAGAAAAAGTAAAAAGTATCTCAATGCTGACCTGGAGGCACCACATATAAAGACTGAGTAGGCCAGTCTCATCGGGCCATAAGAATTGACATACATGATCTCCGCAGTGCTCCGTCTAGTCCACTACCTGTTTTTGACATACGCCATCCCACATGCTTCATAGGAAGGTACAGAAAAAACTTAAAGAATGTAGCTATGGAATAACCTGCTTTACAGTTTACTTCTGCCCTGCAACATATGTCCAGTAGGTAACTGGGCTCTCTACAGCACAAATACTAGTCTCTGTGGAGACCTCTCTAGGAGCAACAAGATTTCACTGATCTTACCAACCCACCCTTGAGTGGTATAAAAATTGCCTTGCACCTCTTAAATTGTTCATTGTCTCATTCTGCTTTGCTGGCAGATTTTAACCTCTGTGCCTCTGACTCAGTGCACAGAAAGTTGCCTTTATCTTATTCAGCCCTTCCCAAAGTTGCAATAATATTTGTATCAATTGTATCAGTCAGTAATTATTATAGATTTAACAGATAAGGTTAATATACTAAGTTTAAACAGACAAGAATTGGTATTTTACAGAACAGAGCAAGAAATCAGAAGGCTTGCACATTTAATACACAAGTACTTTGAAGATATTTATAGACTGAATCTAAACTTGACTCTGCCCCATGGTTTGAAGTAAAAATGATGTTTAATTCATTATGCATCATGAGTAATTTATTTTCAGCTATACCAGTATATGGTTACTAGTATGTTACAAATGTACCTGGATTAATCTCTTATCAAAATGAGTCCTGCCCAAATACATATGCATAACGTTTTTCTGATATTTATATTAAACTATTTTAATATTTAACTATTTTATCTGTCCTTTGACCATGATGGTGTGATTACAATGTATTTATTAGCCCTATAATTCCTTTAAAACACTATCAATATAATGAATTTCTGAATGGTTTTTACCTTATCATCACAAGTTACACCTATCATTAATATAACTGAAAGAGTAGAAGAAAAATTACTGTTCTGTAGCTTGAGTTTTCTTTGTGCGTTGGACTTAGTTTTTTGTTAGGTTGGTGTCACAGTTGCAGCGCTGAACATTCCCTTCTGTTTTAGGGTACAGTTGCACAACTCTGCCTCTCAGAGCAGGCGTTCTGCTGCAGACAAACTGCCATGGGGGCATCAGCTAACACCTCTTTCAGACACAGTTGTCCATAAAGCTTTCAGCAGGGAGAGGCTACAAGTGGTGGCCCAGTAATAATATTGCCTTTCAAGCAAACGTCAGGGGAAGGAATTCTTTGCTAACTCTTTCTGTTCTACTTTCTCCTTATCCTTCCCTGCTTCTATTTCACAGCTTGCTGTTTCCCAGACGTAACAGAATTATGGAAGACTGGGCCTGAGAATTGAATAAAACCCAATAATTTCCTTTCTGCTAGCAGTTTTCCCCTACAGTTCTACTCACTCTGGATGGCTCATTAGCATTTTATTAGGACAGTTTATTATTAAATCAGCTTTTTATTAGGGCAGATACTATACAGTTGCTTGCAGTACATCATTCATGAATTGGCATTTGTTAATATCTATGAGTTTTACACAGCTTCGGAATGACTCATTTAAATGGTGGCAATGACAGGAGAAGATGTGACCAGTACAACTTTGGCACATCTTTGAACCACCACTGGATGCTGCAGAATGAAGGGGAGCAGGGTAGTTGCTGCTACCAAAATGGAAATTTTCTTACCTGATAATTTCCTACCTGTGTGCCTAAATGTAGATTTCTAAAGAAATGTGACCCGAACATCTGTTTTCCCATTTAACAGTTATTTTTGCATTCTAGTGGCTTGCTACTGACATTCACCTTTTGAAACTCATTACCATTAGCATCAGTTTGTTACTTAACATATCTGATTTTTAGAAATATATTTGTGCTATATTTAAATAGCTTTCTTCTGCTATGTTCCTTAATCAGAATTTTACTGGTAATTGTTATAAATAATTCAAATTTCAGAAGAAATCAAAATATTATATTTTAAAAAGGGATACAAATATTTTCAAAATTGTTCTTAGAATAGGGCTAATGCAACTAATCTATGCTCTTTATTATCTAGTCTAATCAGTTGGAGCAGAGTAAAGTATTTTCAATCATTTTCCCACCTCACATTGCTTAGAAACAATAGTTAACTTTATAATAATATTTTTAGAGTCTAGAAAATGTTCATCAGAATTAGAACTGTTTTAAAGCAAGGCAAACGTTAAAGCTGGACTATTTGACATTGTGTTTAGCTTTTGCAGAAACCCTCGCACTAGTCTAGTTTCTTATTCTGACTTTTCTTGCGGTTCCAAAAAAAGAGTGAAAGTAATGGTTTACACAACTGTAATCATAAACACTTGAGAAAGAAATGTCTGTGACGTATTCAATTCAAATCAGTAATGGAAGTGAATATATTTCACTTTAAGTCTGCTCTACACATTATAGTCCTGCTTTTTAAAAAAGAAATTGTCTACAGTATGATATAAATCTTAAAAATAATTCTGTTTTCAAAATACCACTAAAATATTTTGATTTTTTTGCAGTTGTCAGTTACTGAGAAAATATTATGCTATTTCTGGAGTTAAAACTTCCCACTGGATGAAGCTAAATTAAATATTGCTAATATTTGAAAGATAATACGGATTTCTGAATAAATGGTACAGTACATGAGTATCACTTTGTGTTTGTATGAACAGGATTTAGTTTCCCATTAGCTGTCTGTGGAACCTCCAGAGGGACTCGCTCTCAACTCTAGGAGGCTGATGCTGCAGGTGGGTCTCCCTAGGACTCTGAATTTCTTACACAATTTGTAGTTCCAGAGATGTTTCCCAACCCATCAGGCTGGTATCGATTGTAAGAATCTGGAAGGCCTCCACTTCCCATAGGTGGTTTCCTGGGAGTGTTCACCATTTTAGGGAGTCACACACCTCTAAAGGAAGCAGCACCTGATCTTTCATGTATTTAGGGGAGCAGGAAAATCTGCAGACATCTGATGAACCATCGTGCCCATCCCTCTGCACTCCTGATCCCAGAGTGATTACTATGCAAAGACTTGGAGGGGTAACCATGTTAGTCTGTATCTGTAAAAACAATAAAGGAGTCCTGTGACACTATAGAGACTAACAACTGTATTAGGGCATAAACTTACTTGGGTAAAACCGACTTAATCAGATGAATTGCAGTGGAAGTTACAGAAGCAGAAGTATATATAAGGGAGAAGTCGCTTGTGTTAATGAAGCTAATCAAGTCAGAATGAAAGTGGGTCATTAATAACATTTGGTCTTGAGAGGTGAATATCCAGAGAGAGGAAATTGCCTTTGTAAGGCATGAACAAATTGAGATCCTTATTTAATCCTAAGTAGTTAGTGTTGAATTTATAAATGAATTCCAGTTCAGATGTCTCCCTTTGTAACCAGTTTTTTAAATTCTTTTTTAGAAGGATATCTACTTGTAAATTCATTACTGAATGTCCAGGGAGTTTAAAGTGTTCCCCTACAGGTTTATGTGTTACCATTCCTGATGTCTGATTTGTGTCTATTTATCCTTTGGCATAGACACTGTTTGCTTTGGCCAATACACATAGCAGAGAGGCATTGCTGGCACTTGATGGGATATATCATGTTAGTGGATGTGCAAGTGGATGAGCCCCTGATGTTGTGGCTTATGTGGTTAGGGTCCTGTGATTATCTCACTTCTATAGATATGTGGACAGAGTCAGCAACAGGCTTTGTTACAGGGATAGATTCCTGGGTAAGTGTTTCTGTGATGTATTGTGTGTCTGCTGGTAAGTATTTGCTTCACGTTGCGGGGGCTGTCTGTAGGCACGGGGTGGCTTGTTTCCTAAGGTCTGTGAGAGTGAGGGATTGTTTTCCAGAATTGGTTGTAGATTGTAATTCAGTAGCTGAAAACACTGACTGATGATTGGTCTTGTGCACTCTTGAGTGTTAAAGTGAGATCCTAGATCTTTCAAGAGATGGATAGATTTTTGCCACTAAAGTGTCTGTCCACTTATAGCTGAGATCAAAGTCAAGGGACTCAAGGAACTTTTCATGAAGTTTATTGCAAAGCGATGTACTTGCAAGGGATCTAGAATCCTCATAGTGGTGGTGTGCACTGCAGACTGGGTCAGAGCTCTGATCAGGATATCATCCAGAAAGAGGTAACTATGAGCAACCTGCAACCTGAATCTAGCTATCATTACCACTAGCATCTCTGTAAAGACTGTGGGGGCTCCTGAGACACCAAATGGGAGAGTTCAATACTGGTAATGTTCTGGCTGTTAAGCAAATCTCAGAGGTTCATGATGGTCAGCTTTTGGCAGACAGGTAATATTATTTGCATATTTGGGTAATCATTTGCATAATGAATATGCAAATGTCACTGGTCCACTAAAAGTTTGTGAATAGGTTTGCTGGTCCCTGATATTAAAAAGGTTGGTAACCCCTGAGCTAGAACATGTTAAAATAGGTGCTTTTTGACCTTCAGCATAGATAAATGGTCTACTGGTTTTAGGGAGAACTGAATGTGTTTACTAAAATTCTGAGATATACCAGTAACCACAAAAACCTGGAATTAATTATTTAGGCCAAAGGTAATGATTTCAAGAATGAGATAATGGGCATTAATATGTATGAACATGTTTTTAATATGTAAGAATAAACTAGCCTATAGAGTAAGGGTACGCTAAGATTTATGTGGGTAAGGAAGTAAGATTCTGACATGACAGATTGGCCACTGACATGAATAGTCAAGATAGTGCCAAGACTCTATAAGAGGGCAAACCAGCATATGGAGCTACCTTTTAGTTTCAAGGTCTCTCATGTTTAGCTACCATCTCAGCTTTTGCAGTATAGCTTAGCTGCTCAATACTGGACCCTGATCTCTGCCATCTCAGGTTTTAAGAACCTGGGCCATCGGACTCAGCTGGCACGTTAGAGATGAGGTTAGACCTTTGTCTCTCAACACCAGGTTCCCAGGAAAGGGTGTGAATGTGCCAATGTAAGTAGTTTTGTAAGGGGTGGTACCAGAAGTCCCCATAGAATTGTACTTCTTTTTGAATGTGGTTGGAGTTTTGATACATTTTTATTCAAATAAAGGAAAAAGTTATCTGAAGGCTTCAGTGTGAATGGCTTTGCTACTTAGCTTGAGGGTCCATATGAAGTACTGAACTCTCTACATTCTGGAATTCTGTAGTCAAGAAGCTGCTTATTGTCCAGTCAAACTATTAGCAAACCTATAATAAACCAGCCCTCTATAATTCAAGTTAACACTCTTGCCCATTTGTCTGTGGTTCATGTGGATCATTTAACTGAAAAATGGGAAATTCTGCCATCTACAGGCAGGTCTGGGCAGAAGCACATTGGCTTGCTGTCACACAATCATCAAAGTGTAATACTGGAAGGGACAAGAGGTCATCTAATCCAGAACTGTGCTCTCAAGGCAGGACTACAATAGCAACAACCAGACCATTTCTTACAGTGTTTGTCTTACCTATTAAAAATTTACAGTGACAGAGATTCCACAATCTCCCTTAGGCAATTTATTCCTGTGCTTAACTACTCTGCTCTGACAGGAAGTTTTTCCTATGGTGCAACCTAAACCTCCCTTGCTGCAATTTCAGCCCATTGCTTCTTGTCCTGTACTCAGAGGTTAAGAACATAAGAATGTAAAAATGACCATACTGGGTCAGACCAAAGGTCCATCTAGCCCAGAATCCTGTCTTCCATCAGTAGCCAATGCCAGGGGGCCCAGAGGGAGTGAACAAATCAGGTAATCATCAAGTGATCCCTTTCTTATCACTCATTCCCAGCTTTTGGCAGACAAAAGCTAGGGACAACATCTCTGCTAATAGCCATTGATAGACCTGTCCTCATTTAATTTACTTAGTTATTTTTTAACCCTGTTATATTCTTGGCCTTCACAAGATTCTCTGGCAAAGAGTTCTTACAGGTTGACTCTGTTGTGAGAAGAAATACTTCTGTTTGTTTTAAATCTCCTGCTTATTAATTTCATTTGATGATCCCTACTTCTTAGGTTATGCGGAGTAAATAGTACTTCCTTATTTACTTATTTTTAAGATTAACAAGAACAACTGTTCACCCTCTTTGTAATAACCCTGTAAGTACTTGAAGACTTCTTCAGACTAAACAAACCCATTTTTTCAATCTTTCTTAAGAGGTCATGGTTTTTAGGCCTTTAATTATTTTTGTTGCTCTCCCCTGGGCTTTCATCACTTGTCCACATCTTTCCTGAAGTGTGGACTCAGAACTAGACACAACACTCTAGTTGAGGCCTTATCAGAATGGAGTAGAATGAAATCATTACTTCTTATGTCTTGCTTTCAACACTTTTACGAGTATATTGCAGAATGTTTTCTTTCCATTAGTGTTAGTGTTGATTCATATTTAGCTTGTGACCCACTATGGCCTCCAGCTCTTACTTCTGCAGTACTTCTTCCTACAAAGTCAGTTCCCATTTTGTATGTGTGAAGCAAATTGTTCGCTCCTAAGTGGTGTACAGTGCATGTGTCCTTATTGAATTTCATTCCTTTTATTTCAGATCATTTTGAATTTTAATCCTATCTCCAAAGTATTTGCAAACTCTCCCAGCTTAGTATCATCTGCACGTTTTAGAAGTGTACTCTCTATGGGTATGTCTACACTACAAAGTTAGTTCGAACTAACTTTCATAGGCGCTACACTAGCGCTCCGCTAGTTTGAATTTAATTCGAACTAGCAGAGCGCTTAGTTCGAACTAGGAAAACCTCATTTTACGAGGATTAAGCCTAGTTCGAACTAGCTAGTTCGAATTAAGG